TATATATATATGATGATTATTATTAATTTCTTTATTTTTTTAAATTGCACCTACTAACCGCAACAGTAAAATCTGAACCTGACAAAAAGAGTAGAAGTGTAGAACCTGCCTATACTTAAAAAATCTATATTTTATGTATAAGAATATCAGCACTTCACATCGTGTAGACCCATTATAAGATTAAATATAAACAAAAATATAATAGGTAAAATCACAAGCAAATTTAAATATAAAAATTAAAAATATAATCAATTCATTTATTTAAAATTATGAATTATAAAAAAAATTAATAATTTAATTTTAAAATTTTACCATTCACGCATAAAGTTCTTTTATATTAATCGAATTCCAACTCAATCATTAAGGGGGCAGGGGGCGGCAAAGTTAAATCCAACCAAACCAACCAACCCTTTCATTAAATGATAAATAAATCCCCCAAGCTAGCATCACATTCACCCAGCCACCATACCAATTTATTTTACTAGTAAAAATAAATAATTTCATTAAAATTAAAAAATCCTTAATTCGATTGGTACTAAACTTACATTTTAAACATGATCTTGAACTTGACTTTGTGTATAAAATAAACATGATCAGAAGGAGAAACTACTCAAAGTGAATTGAGATCCTTTTCATTTCATTCTTTTTCTTGTTTATTGTTATAGTTTTAGATGTATAATAAACATTAATTAATATTTAATTTCATTTATACACTTAAAAACTATAAAAATAAAGAAAAAATTATGCGAAAGAAATGAAGAAATCCAAACTCACCAACAAAGATTAATGAATAAAGATCAGTGATTTTAAACGCAGAAAATGAGTACTTGTTGAGCAAAATGCAAAATGCAAAATGCAAAATGCAAAATGAGAATTGATGTTGATGCAATGAATAGGAATGAATTAACCTGAACGAAAATCCGATTGGGCTGAGAAAGAGTCTTGAGCAAGTAATCAGCGCCCCAACGAGTGGCGACGAGGGCGTTCCTGAGCTGATTGGGAGGCATGAGGTCTCCGAATTCCAGCAAGCTCCAGGCGAGCATTGTGGTGGTGAAGGCCATCGGAAACCCGAACTTAACGTTGTCGCCGGCGTCGTAGTAGCCGCCGGTGAGATCCGTGTTGTAGTTCCAGCCGTCACTGAGGCCGGAATTCCCTCGCCAATTGAGCCTCTGATCCCCCGGCAGAAAGCCCGATCTCTGTCCCTCGAAGAACACAATCGCCTTCGACAATGCCTCTCCGTAGTCGTGTCCTCTCCCAAATCCAAACAACAACGCATGAAACACCGCAATTTCCAACGCCCTCCACGCCTTCATTTTTCTCATCAACTCACTGTCACCGAAATCACATGCTCACAGTGCCTTTCCCACTCATCAAATGCTTTGCCATCTCATACTTTTTTATATACTGTTGGACCACTCTCACTTCTTTATTTATTTGTTTTAGAATCTAATGATTATATTATAACTAAAGTTAACCACACAGCATAGCTCTGCGCGCGCAACCCAGTGTTTATTACTTTATTTCCCCCCCCCGCGCGGTTAGATAGGTTGGCTTTGTCCTTATCTTCCCGCTTTTAAGTTTTAACCACACACCAAACTTGCTTCATCAAATTTCATTCTATGCTACCAATCCAACATTATTATAACGCTTGCCGAATTATGCGGTGGAAATAAAATTCAAATCAATCAATTTTTATTGATTCAAATTGCTTCGGACTTCCTAAAATTTTTGGACAACCTAAACCAAATCAACTTGATTTATAGTGGGTTTTTTTATTTGTTCGGTTCAGATTAATCGTGTCCCTGTTATACAATGTGCAAATTTTATTTTGAGAAAAATAAAATGGCAAATGTTTTTGTCTGAAAATTCACATAATCTTGTCGTTACAAGTATAAGGTGTAAGCAGCATATTTTGTTATAATTGACTTATACTAACTAAATAATAACAAAAAAAAATACATGATTATGCTACACAACTCCATCCAAAATAATAGAAAAATTCACAATCATACATATTCGATTCGAGCTTAACGAATCCGCAAAGTTCAAGCTCGATATCCAAATCAAATACCATTAGGTCGGCTAAGCTAAAAAATTATGAATCAAGCTTCAGTTTAAATCCACAAATCCTTTGGGTTTAAACTGAGAAAGACCCCAAGAGGGTTCTATTATCCAGTGCATTAAGAACACTAACTTAACATATTAAGAATTGGTCATATTAGTTCCTAGAAACCGAATATTATCAAGTTAGTCTTATAAAGACGTAGAAAAATGATTTAGTCATCTTTTACGCCAATTTAATTACTAAACGTGATTATATTGTTCAAAATGGCCATTTTACAAATTCGAAATTGGTGATTTACATTTTTCAAGAATTGATGTGATTAATCTCAAATCGTTCAAAGATTAAAGTAATATTTCACTTGAGAAAAAAGAAAATTTTAATTGAAAATCACGATACGAGTATAATTTTAAATGCTATAATTTATTTTAAAAAAATAATTACATGATAAATAACATCTGTCAGCATTCTCCGAGAAAGCATGTCCCACATCAAAATCCAAATGATAATTCCATAAGGTGGATTTTTGAGTGTGCATGTTTCTATACGTGATTCGATCCGCATCATATAGAAGACACTGTTTGCCAAAAAACATGCTAATGAACATGATTTTGAACATTGGCATACAGCACAAACATCATTCCAAACGAGCGTCTCGCGGGACAGCGATTTTGTTGGTTTGTATATATTTAAAAAAGAAAATGTAACCCAAGTAGTAATTATCGGTCGATGAGCTAGTGATCTAACGTATCTCAAGAAAGTGGGGCTACAAAGCACATAAATGTTCTTTATCTCTGATGAAGGCAGCACACATAAGTGGCGCTATTCTTATTTTCTCATTTAATGTTATCAAATTAATTTTGTATAAAATGATTGAAAATCCAAAGCCCCTGCCTTCGTACCAATGGAAATTTGTTTTCTTTCAATAGTGCATGTACAGCAAGAATTCTCAAGCTTAACATTCTGCGGTCCACAAAAAAAAAAACAAACAAACAAACTTAACCCCGATCATTTGAAAGCCTATTACAGAAGATGACGAAGTAGTTTCATTGATATCGAAGCACCCACATTTATAGGCCAAATATTAGATTCTCAAAAATAAAAGAAAAAACGAGCCCACTATGCCATGGCAAGCAAACAGACACAGCAAAGGCCCGTCAAATATTAGTGGACAACTTATCCGTTCCTTCTTCCTTTTACCAATCAAATAATAAAAATAAAAAAGACAAACAAGTACAAAAATAAAATTGGGATACATAAACTTTTGGGGTCCACATTGGAAGACCGCAAAGAAGTTGTAGAACAAAAAAATACTTTGCCATAACAAATCCAAAGCTATACACATGAACTCAACTTTGACTCAAAAATATTTTAATGACGTTCAGAAAGCCATGAAAATGACCAATGTGTAAAATTTATTTATAAGACCGCCAGTAACCAAAATAATAATTGACCTTGGGTAGGGAAAATGGCCAATGTGTAAAATTGAATTTATTTCGGACACAAGAATTACAACTGTCATCTTCGTTCGCCTAGATAGAATGTCAGAGTAGTTCTATAATGCACCTTGTATTAGGGGTGAGGATTGAAATGTAAAATGAACTTAAGCGAGCTTGGATGCGCCAAACATGCAAGGTGTATTGTAGAATTAGTTTAGAATGTCCTTCAGGAGCTCTTTCACATAGTTACCCACTCTGTTCAAGTTTTTGGCAACACCAGATGCCACCAGGCCTGCATTTCTTTGAAACCTGCATATTTAGAATCTTCGGGTGTTGGAATTAGTAATTTCAGATTACATCCCTAGCATTCGAGTGGCTAGAAGGAACACACGTACTACAAGAGTTAACTCGTCTATGCTGAAAAGTTCGACTTGCCTGTTTAAGAATTCTGTTGTATTATTATTTGGAGGTGTGTATCTTCGAGGTTGAGGAGCAGCATGCTCATCATCTGGACAAACAAGACCAAAAAACCAGAAATAATTGTTTGGTGTATACTCATGCAGAATGAAAACATTATATTGTAAAACATTGACGTTTTTTCTGGCTTATTTAATGTAAAATAGACAACGATGTACAGTTTAGGATTGTGCTGAGTGTCCTATGTGATGATACATTTATGAATCATGATGATCTATCACTTTTGCCCATCACAAGTGTAGATAAGTCCATTGGCAGTTTTAGGCAGAGGAAACAACTTCACAATCAAGTGATTTTGGAAGTGTTTGACACAGAACTACTAATTGACGAATAATATCTTCAATTAAAAGAAATTATTTACTAAACTAAATGATAGTCAAATTAAAAAAGCTCCATTTTCATTTTTCTTAAAGGTGGATAATCACTTGGGAATTTCTAGCTATCTTGGGGATAAACTGATCCAGCTTCTCTCCCAACTGTGAATTTCCAAAACTGAATACAAAGTAGTTTTTTCCTTATTTATATCCCCTAACTGCCACTAATAACTGCAGACTTACTAATGGTAAGTTACACTGGATGGGCCTAATTCCCCGCTAGTCTCTTGTTCATTCTACAATACAGTCCAGTAATTGAGTTCCTCACCCTAACACTTGGTAATAAATATATCTAAGCCGGTTAGCACAATAAAGAACTTGAGAATATTCGAAAAGCACACAACAGATACGATGTCCAACTGCTTCAATGACTTTACATATGAATTTCCGATGTAACCTATTTCGAAATTTATCATTGATACATATAGGGAACATAAACAAATCATCTCCAAGACACGAGAATTATCCAAATATGCTTAGGATTTTATATTAACCATTATTCTTTGTCCAAGTAAATGGGTAATGCTTGAAAAAGAAAGAAATAACTAAGTAAATAAAAATATAAACCAAGAATTTCAATACCTCCAGTTTTATGAGAACCAGGAACGTGGCCAACAGGTAAATTTGAAGCTTTCTCCTCTAAGACCACCTGATACATGCATCAATAGTGTCATAAACTAAGATCACGTTTTCATTTACAATTTAAGTGATCACTGATGCATCATCTCATTCCCACTCTCCATTTTTAAATTTTTTTTTAATCTTCAGGAATGCTCTAGGTTGCTAGCAACAGTTTTGTTGACTAGCAGGTCTCCTTTATCTTTAACTATGAAGCACCGACACTTCAATTTAATCCACATATCCACATCCAATACCAATTAATATAGAAACACAGAAACATTGAAACAAATGATTAATAATTTATTTGTTTTTAGTAATGTATAAGTATGTTTTAATTTGAATTTGAAAATTGCAACTATATATTTCTTATGTTTATGAATTTTGATGAAAATTACAATTACACATTTATTATATTTTATATATATTGATATACATATATATATATATATATATATATATATATGAAGACACATATCTTACATATATCATATCCTATATATTTTAAAATAATCGTATCACTATATCGGATACATATCATATTTTAACATTATCACTTCTTTAATGATCTCATGAGTTTATTATTTGGACCATGTAATAAATTGTTCCTTACTGCATGATATATGCAACTCTGAATTACACAAAACATGTACCAACTGGCAATAAGCTATTGGAACAAGATAAACCTAGTTTTAGAAAATACATAAAAATAAATAAATAAATAAATAAATAAAAAAGAGGGAAAGGAGGTCCAGATATAAAACCTCAAGGCCAACACAAAAGGGCAATTTTGCTGTTTTATCCTGCGAATCAGCTGGAGAATCTTTGTTGTCTAAGTAGACGGAGTATCCAACACAAGCATACTTGAAATTTGTAAGGCTGCGGCCCTCTTTGGAAGCTTCCAACTCAGCTTCTCCCACAACAAAAGGGGGTACTGGTTATATGAATTAGAACATCAATATTAAAACCTTAATGGCTTATAATGAAATAGAGATTAAACTGTTATAACTTGACAGTGAAGCAAATAAAACCAATCCAAAAGAAACATACAACTATAATAAGCAATGTCAATCATAAAAAAACTAAAGTACTACTAAATAGTAATAGAATAATTTGGATGAAGGTTCACCTTGAGGAAAACAATGGATGTAACGAGTAAACTGAACAAATTGAAAAAATAAGAGAGAAAATAAACATCATAAAAATACATGGTCCAAAAACTTAATCGGAAAATGAACAAAGCTATTGTCACAATAAAGCACTATACATCAAATATCCAAACAACACAAGTTTCAAGATTATGAAGTACATGTGTAAAATTTGCATAGAAATTATTAAGAAAAAGGGAAAACATACCAAGTATACCAAGAACGTGTCATTTGTAAACAACGATGAATTATTTCAAAAGTTTTAAAAGCATATTTAGGATGAAAATTTGTAGGCAAATGATTTATGGTGTAAATGATTTATTTTGTATGGGATGTTCATAACATGGAATTGGGAATTGATTTCAGTAAGAAATCCACATAATTTGATTACATAAATTTAGATATCATATCAAATTTGGTTGGATTTCAGGATTTGTTTTGGTTCAAATTTTAATTATTCAAATGGACCAATGTTATCAAATAACCATTATGGTGCCCCCATAGAGATATAAAGTGGCATTTTTGGACCCCTCCACCATCCATTATTTCCCATTGTATGGCGCCCATGGTTTCTGCTATGGCCATGGGTTTGTGGTAGTTTGTGACGCTCATGGTGAAACTTCTCCCCACCTTTTTTTTTCATTTTTCTAAATAACCCTTTTAAGGTTTTTTCAAGACTTCAAACATTCCAGGCCCGATTTCATATTCACACTCTCTCTATTAGTCTCTCATCAGTGTCAACAAAGAGGGAAACCTAGGGTTTCTCTTGTATTCTCTCTTGCGAACTTCCTAAGTTGCAGCCAAACAACAAAAGGGAGCCTTCTCAGACCACCACCCTCACTGGCGACCTGAACCACGGTGGCCTGTGCTCCGACAAGAAAGTCCAGCAAAAAGGCCAGGCTAGATGCTACCTCAGCTCCCTCTTTGGCCCACAACTACCATTGATGAATTTTCTCAACATCAACAATCACGGTGAGCAGTTTTTAGAGATTTCACGTACAAGCTCCCTCATACTCAATTTCTAATGATTTCAAGTACATGCTAACTGACGACCAAAGCAAATCACAATCCAGCTACAGGCTTAATTCAAAACAAGAAATGCAATGCCATCTTAAACACGTTGCACTGCAATGAAACTACAATGTAAAGGGATAGGAAGCCCGCAAAAAAATCAACAACGATTCCAGCTCAGGCTAAATGGATATCAACATAGCTACTAATTGTTGCATTTTATTCACTCGGAACACAATATTTCATATTGAATAACAAGGTTTAAGACTAGCGCCCGCAAAAATTCCTCTCCATGCGCTTATACCAATGTACAAGGTTTCAGAAAACGGAACCCCAAAGGAATGGGTAGTAAATCAAGAAAGATACCTTGGTGGAGTGTTTTGGAGAAGCCAACGCATGTGGGATTGTTGGATTTGGCTTTATGAAGCGACGAGTAGTACGTGCATCCCTTGCACGATTTTCCTTTGGATCCTCTGGTTGTATGAGGCGGGTTAGGGTTAGGGCTAGGGTTAGAATTTTGATTTGGATTTGGATTTGGATTGTGAGGTTGAGTACCTCCTGTTCCTGGCGTTGGAGCTGCTTCGTCTTTGGTGACCGCCATCAATTCGGTTTCGTTCATTTCTTAAGTTCCCATGTCTACGCTCGTTAGGGGAAATACATATGGCTGGAGAAAGTCATCATTTCTCCCAAAAAAAAAAGTAGCAATGGATAAACGACACCACGCTGCGTTTTGGGTTGGGCTTGTTTTTTGTTCATTTTGGATCTGGGATTTTTGTTAATTTTGGATCCGTCTCTCATCATTTGTCCTTGGAATTATTCAATCATGGATTCATGGTAAACTATTTTTTATTTGATTTTATTAGTTACAACTTACAAGTGTAAAATTCTTTGCTACTATCATTTACTGTGTTTTACTTTCGGTTGTTTTTACAAATAAATAATTAGTATTTTAGTCTTGATAAGTGTTTAATAAATACAATTAAAATTTATAATAAATTTAATATAAAAAATAAATATAATGTTCGAATGTATAAATTATACTTAAAATTTATATAAATAAATATTTTATAAATATTACTTATATTTTATATTTATGATAGATAATTTATATTGTAATACGATATTATTTTTTATTTATTAATAATTTATTATAAAATATTAGGATTTAATTTATAAATAAAAATTAAATTAAATATAAAAAAAATTAAAAATTTAAAAATTTCTCTTATTTAAAATAATTTGTAAAAATGTTCTCACACAAAAATAATATATTGTTTTTAATATATAAAGATTGATTATATTTTATCTCTAGTTATAAGAAATATAAAACTGTTTTTAAATATATTAATTATTAATTTTTTTTGTATACCTTTCATTTATCGTAAAATCTTTCATTTATTGTAAAGTGTATTTCTCCATACAATTAGATGTATTTATCAAATTAATAATAATAATATAAGTGACATGCATCCATTAAAAAAATTATCTCTTAAATTTAAAGTTATTTCATTTAATACAATTATCACTCAAAATATTTAAGAAATAAAATATTGAGTCGATTGATTCTTAAATTTTAAATATTAATCTTTTATAAGTTTTACTACAGACGGCCTTTTTTATGATACTTTATACAGTTATAGTTATATTAATATTAATTTATTGTACGTTGAAAATTTTGCGAAAATTTACTTTTCAATATTTTAATTATATGTTTCTTAAAACTACTAAACAAAATATATCTTAAATTAGTTAAATATTAATACATTGCTAAATTTTCTAGTGTGATTGTATTACGGTTGACATTACCTATATGTAGTAAGTGGAATTGAGTTTAGATTTTTTAATTAAGTTTTTAGTTCAAATCTTATAAATTTATTATAAGTCTTATAAACGTGCTTAAGAGAAAATTTTTTATCAAAAGTGAGGAGAAAATTAGGTATTAATAAAATTAATAAATATTTTAAATGTGTTTGACAAAATATATTATGAAAAATTTATGAATTCTTTCAACTAGTTTTTTTTATTAATTAAAAGTTTATATTAAGATTATATATAATCTCCTATAAGATTAAAGTCAATTACTGAAATATTTTTTTTTATTTTCAATAAAATTATGAATCACTTACTAATTTTATTCTCAACACAAATCCACATGAAATCTACATTAAAGAATTTAAAATATGCAAAAGTCGAATTTAATCTCAAGTCTTAATTAATAAAAGTAAAAGAGCTAATTTATTTTAAAAACTTATTAATTAAAGTAATTTATAATTTATAAATTCTGAATTTTTTATATTTATTAATTTACTTAAATATTTTTTTTATCTTTTTTAATTTGGGTACCATTTTGCCTATCCTTTCATATTTTACTATACTTATGTATAATGTTTTTAATCAAGTTTTTTTTTTAACGGGTGCTATCTATCCCTAGTTTTAGTGTATTACATTCTCTCTCTATCAAATAAACAAATATATATATATATATATAATTAATCACTTATACACTGTTATTGTAAAGTTTTTTTACACTGACAGTCAATCAGAGTTGTTAATATAAATTTTCAGCCAATATATTAACTAATTTTACGTAACGCCCCCTTTATTATACCAATAACATACTGTCCCGAAATAATACACTAGTAAATAAAAAATAAAAAAAACATTTTGTATATTGAATTATGAGCAAGAAATACATAAATGGAAAAGAGAATTATAGTTTATTTGGAAAGAAAGAAAAGAAGGAAAAGATGGGGGTAATGGTTTGCCTAGTAAGAGGCGTGCACACTAAAAGTGATCTCATATATCGTATCTCAAAGTGCTATGCAGGTCATATGCAAATACTGATACTAAAATAGGGTTGCTGATTTATTATACTGTTATTACTTCTTGTTACGATTCAACAACAATAGCAACCCTCGTGGCCTCATCCGTCACAACCACGTTGTTCATTGAATGGATGATGCTTCTTCTGTCATCTTTGTCCTGCCAACAACTACTTCCCTCACGTGCACTCATGGATCATCTCTACACAGTACACAACATTTCCCACTTTAATTAGCTGCACTATGCACCAACGAAACAGATAAGAAATCAAACATGTAACAACGTGGGTTTGATTTGGTATGGACAAAAAGTTATTTGAACTGAAATAAAAATAACATGCGGTTTATTTTGGTACGGTTTGAATATGATATCTGTACCTGTCTTGAGGGTACACCAAGTCTTCTCGTATTCTGAAGGCCGAACGAGTACTCCGATCCAACGCGAATAAGGGGTTGGTCCCTGCAAAAAGGCCCTCCAACGCTCAAGTCAGGACAAGCACCAATATCGAGAGTAATTAATGAACAGTGACGTTACCTTTTGACCTGAGCTATTTATACTGACATTTATGGGCCTTGGACCTTATGGGCCGTATACCATATTAGGTAATACACCTTAATTAAGTAATTATCCCTTAAGCATAGATTAACTATCGAGTGATGGACTTATTCAGGTGACCGATTGGCGATCGGCCACCTGACTCTGCCATTCGTTGGCCGATAGAGATATGGCCGAATGCCCCTACCTGTACAATATCAAATCTAGGTCAGTCTTTTATAATTCAATTTGGATCATTTTGCGTTTTTTGTTTATAATTTATTCTTTTGATCGATTCGGACATTGAGTTTGGGAGAGTTGCAAGCTATGATTGGGTGAATGCTTTAGTTAGTAGAGCTCTACAATTGTCTGATGATAAGTGACCACATGTAAGTAAATTCAATATCATATGTAAATATGATATTGAATTTGGATACATGTTTGGAATTTCATTATGTCATGCAAAACTACCATAAAATATGTTACGCTTTTGGCAAAGTTGCTCTTAAAAGTTTCAATTTATGTATCAATTATGTGTGTTTACTCTTCGCAGACATGCAACCAAACACTCACTCTCATGCATCTGTTAAATTGTTATCCTTAAATATGAAAAGGAAAATAAAAGAAAAATGTATATCAACGTCCTTCAACTTTAAAATATATGCACTGATCGTCCATTTAATATCGAATGGGAAGTTATATGGAACTTGTACATGAGGGCATCGAAATTCTTTTCAAAATTTTACATGTTATTTTTATCTATACCCTTTCAACGTACTATACGTCACGTTGATTTTGAAATTTAAAAAAACTGCAAACTAAGACCTGTTTAATTTTTTCTTTTACAACTAATTTATGTTTTAAAAAAAAAAACTCGTTCGATAAAAATAAATTTTAAAATTACTCCCTTCACCCGGGACAAGAAACAGAGGACCACCTCTTTTGAGTTTTATCAAATACACAATAAGAAAAGAAAAAAAGAAAGTAACACCTGTCCTAGAACACAAAGGATCAATGTCGTGGTTATAAAATTGATTTTTTTTATATATTAAAATAATATTTGATCAATAAAACTTACTTTCTATAAACATTGATTAATATTTAATTATCAATATAATTTTAAGATATTATATAAATCATATTTATAAAAAATATATATATATATATAAAAACACCTAGCAATATAAACCTATCAATCATTTATCAACCACAATGAGTGCATTTGTAACTTTGTCGGTAAGGGTTCACTATCTTTGAGCATTTCAAGATTATTTTATTTTAGTTTTTTTAATGTTTGTAGATTTAAGACACGTTGAAAAACTTGAAAGGATGATTTGCATGAAGCTTGGTTATGCGATATTAATTTCGTTGCAACTTGGTTACTGGTTAGATAATAGCATCTGGCATGTATAGATTTATAGTTTAAGGATATCAAATGAAAGTATAACACATGTACCCCAAAAAAAAAGTGTCCAGAGGAGTAAAAATTATTACATGACTGAATACTGATACTTCTCGTTATTTATTTATTTTGTGGAAATTAGATTGAAGATTAAAACCCATACCCTTTTTTTTTTACTGTTAGTCACACTGAATCTAAATTAAAATGCATTAAATAGGGAGCTTATTTGTTTAAATTATTTTAAAAGCGTTTTTTAATAAAATAAATATTATTTTTATTTTTTTATGTATTTGTCTATTATTTTAAATAAATAATTTTTTATTTTTTAGAAGCAACTTTTATCTATTTCTTAAAGAATTATTTAAAAAAACACTTGTTTAAAAGTATTTACTTTTACATTTTAACAAATGGACTCAAGATCATTAATACTATAGTTAATAAAATAATTTGACACTTTTATTTTTTAATTAAATACTTGTTGGATCTCAACTTGGATATAAAGTTACGATTAAAATATTATTTAATTTTTCAAGAGTCGAGATATTTAAAAGGGAATACATTTTTTTATTAAACAAAACAAAAATAAAAAATTTTAAGATCGACTTAGTAAGGAAAGTTATATGTTTTTATTATAAAAAAAAAGTATGGCCTTCGATTTTAAGTTTTGTGAAAAAAAAATGGTTTGGAGAGAAAATATGATTAAATGTAAATAATTAAGTTTTCAAATAAAAAGTAGTTATATAAAAAAATTGATAATTTTTTTTATCAATAGTATAGTTAAAAAAACTTATTTTTTAAAGGTTGGTGGATTGAATTTAATTACACCTAGAAAATAATAATACTAAAGTGCATACAACCTATAGTTAAATGAGATGGAATAAATAATCACATGCAAAATTTATATAAAAAAAACATTTAAATATTCTCACAAGTAATGCGTGAAGTTCATTCTAAATTTACTAATATATTATTCTTTCCGTTCCTTTTTATTTATTTATTTTAGAAGATAGTATGTAAATTTAAATTATGATTAATGTTTTATTTATATTGAAACGAACTTTGCTCTAATATGACTTTTACTGTTATTTCTCTTTATTTATATTAAATATATAAAACACTAAAGAATTAAATAAAGTTAAAAATGATTATTATCTTAAATTTTGAAATAATAAATAAAAGCAAATGTTATCTTAAGAACAGAAGTTTTATTTCTTTACCAAAGAAGAACACAAGTTAAGAAAATAGAAGTGTTTTTTTATTATTATTATTATTAACAAGTATTATTAACGTGATTCTATTTATGATTTTTAATAAACCTTCAACGCAGGTTTCAAAATAAGTTTTTTGTTGACTTAATAAATGTTATTAACTAAGTTCATTAATAAAATAAAATTTTCTATTCGAAAGAAAGAAAAAATAAATAAATAAAAACATCTTTCGTAAAGTATAAAACCATGTCTCCTAACCTTTAAACATGGAGATGACTCATCATTGATTCATGTAGCCACAAACACAAAGGTAAAGGTAGTATTACTTTCAATCCTTTTTATAGGATTTTTTTTACAAAGTTCTTCTAATGGTTTTATAAAATTCTCTCCGTATTTTCTACTTTATGAATTACTTTAAAAAAAAAGATTTTTGAATGAGAATCCATTAATTAATTGTATAAAATAAAATAAAATAATTACCTTTTTTAAATATATTATTAGTATAAAATATCTACTAATTTTACTAATAATTAATTTCTATCAGATATTCAAAATTAACACAAAATCTTTTTTTTTTTTTAAATTGAATTCAACATCATTTAAACTATTAATTTGTTAGTATAAAATTATTATTTTAAGAACAATCCTAATATATATATATATATATATATATTATAACTAATTAAATTTCTTAAATTATATACTTTTTATGAAGTGATTAAGAATTTACTACTATATCGAAGTCGAGAGGTCCTATTAAGTTAATAGTAGTAGAAGTCCACCTCATCCTACTTGACCACTCCATTTGGCAGTAGCAGTGACACAGTTTCCATGGTCTCAAATCAATTCCACCCAACTTTATTGCTTCAATCGCTCTCAGCCCCACCATTCCTCTCTTACACATCATACATGCACTCAACGAATCTAACGCGCACACCGCTGAATAATTCAATCATAAAAAGCCAGCGAGATTGAAAGAGAGATAGGCAAATAAAATATCAACCCAACTTGAATATAAATATATATATATATATATAGGTATAATATCTAATTATATTATAATTATTTAAAATATCTTATGATAATTAGATAACAAAACAACTTATTATAAGGTAACAAACATATAAAATAGAATGGCTCAATGGTTTGTGCAATTATACATAGAGACTATAAGGTATAGGTCACGGGTTCAACTCATGTTGAGTCTTCCTATATACCTATTTTAAT